GGTGTGCTGATTGTAGGAGCAGAGGATGTGCTGGTTGTAGAAGGAGAGCTTGTTCTGGTTGTTTGAGCAGAGGGTGTGCTGATTGTAGGAGCAGAGGTTTTGCTGTGTGTAGGAGCAGAGGGTGTGCTGGTTCTAGGAGGAGAGGTTGTGCTGGTAGTGGAAGAAGAGGTTGTGCTGGTTGTAGGAGCTGAGGGTGTGCTGCTTGTAGGAGGAGAGATGGTCCTGGTTATGGGAGCAGAGGTTGTGCTGGTTGTAGAAGGAGAGGATGTGCTGGTTGTAGAAGGAGAGCTTGTTCTGGTTGTTTGAGCAGAGGGTGTGCCGGACATTTTCGTGGAGGTCGTGCTGGCTGACGGCACAGAGGAGGTTCCCTGAGTTTGGCTGGTGATGCTCTCAGTTGGGGTGCTGGGAAGTGTGACAGATCCTGTGGTAGGACAGCCTTCAGGGGTCTTGCAGCACAGCACGCGCACCTCGTAGTTGAGGCACATCTTGGGAGATCCTTGCTGGTCGCGGTTCCGGCACACCAAGCCCACGTCTTGGTCACACTTCACCACCTGGCCCAGCTTGTCGATGCTCACCTCAGGGTGGGTCACCGCTCGGCACTGCAGCCGCATGATTTCTTCGGGCCGGTGACAGATTTTTTCTCCACTCCTGATGATGTTGCCATAGGTTTCATTATCTCCACTGTTGGGTTCAGAGGACGGGAAGTCCACGTCAAACCACCTTGTCCAGGAGCACTGCAACTGGCAGCCTCTGGTTGTTGGCTCGGGAATCATGCCTGTGCCTGATGTGACTCTTGTTTCTCTCGTCACGGGTGCTGAGCTGGTAGGTGTGTGCTCTGTGGAGGTTGGTTGGCTTTCTGTGGTCGAGGTGGCCTGCATTTTGGTGCTGGTTTTGTGCCTGGTGGACTGTGTGGTCACAGGCTTCTCTGTGCACACGTCCACCGTCTGGCAGCACTGGATGCGGATCTCGTAGTTGAGGCAGATTGGCGGTAGCTGGTCCTTGTTTAGGCAGATCAGCCCCACCTTGGCATTGCAGGTTACCACCTGCCCCAGCTCCGACAGTGGGGTATTGGGGAAGCTCGCTGCCCTACACTGCACACTTGTGGGCCTTTCACAGAATTTATATCCCTCGGCTCTCAAATGTTTGAAAGTATCAAAATCTCCACTGTTTCTGTCAGACCCAGGGTAGCTGCCGTCGATCCACTCTGTCCAAGTGCAGAGCTCCTGGAAGCAGGGGTTATGGCTGGGTTGATGGATGGATGTTGGAGTACTTGGGGCCCCTGAGGTCCCTGTGGCTGTGGTAGACACGGGGGATGCTGTTGAAGTGGTTGTTGGCACTGGAGTTGGGCTGGGGGTTGAGAAAGTTGTTTTGGCAGATGTAGAGATTCTTGGGGCAGGTGTAGAGGGACCTCGGGCAGGGGTTGTACTAGCTGTAGATAGAGGGACTGGGCCAGTTGTGGTGACAGGAGCTGGAGAGGCTGTGGACTGTCGTTCTGTGGATGTGGCCCCAGTTTCAGTGGTGCTGGAGGTCGGAGGGGTGGTCTGAGCTGGACCGCTGGAGGTGCGGCAGGCCAGAGGGTTGCAGCAGAAGACCCTGATCTGGTAGTTGTGGCACAGACCCGATGCCTGGTCCCTGTTGTGGCAGGTCAGCCCCACTACCGGGCTACACTCCACGTGCTGCCCCAGGACCTGAAGTGGCACCTCAGGGGCGTCCTCAGCACGGCACTCCACTGCCCTTGGTTCCTGGCACACCCAATATCCATGTGCACGGAGGTTCTCCAGTGTATCGTAGTCCCCGCTGTGTTTGCCCCGTCCAGGATGGCTGACATCCAGCCACGCTGACCACTGGCACTCTTCCCCACAGCTGGTTGAGGCGGAGACCCAGGCAGGTGTCGTCCTGGAGGAAATGCCTGAGGGAACAGTGGACGGAGGGCCCGGGTGCACTGTGCTCTGGGTGGGGCCAGGGCCAATGCTGGGGGCGCGGGTCAAGCTCGTGCCTGTGGGTAGAAGAGAAGGCAGCAGGCTGAGCGTTGGTCCCAGTGCTCGGGCAGTCTCACTGGGCTGCTCCTGGGAGTCCCGTCCCTACTGCCCATTAGCTGCCTTGTGGGTGCTGCCACAGTTGACGTGGCCATCTAACTGCCTGGGGCTGCGTGGCCTGCCTGTCTGCCTGCCTGTTCACGTGACCACTGCTGGGACCCACCAGGCACAGAGCAGGAGTGGAGCTTGCACCTGTGGAATGAACAGGGAAGGTGACCTCATTTGAGGGAAGCTGGATCCTTGGGCCACGCCCTGAGCAGAATGTACGCGTATGAGCCCCCGAACGTCAGAGTTAGGGGGCTCTTCACTGTCAGAGGCGCTGTGATGACGCCTCGGGGAGCCCTAGGATGCACCCCTCAGAAGAGGGTGAGGACATGGGGCATCGGGTGCTCTGTGCAGTGTAAGGTGAGTGGACCACCCTAAATCCCCAGAGAGCAAACCGTGGTCCTGCAGGGGCCAGCCTGGGGCTGCCCCAAGCTGGGAGCCTCAGCCCTGGGACCAGAGCTGCCAGCTCTGAGGCTGATCCTGGAGGCTGCTGGAAGCAGGACCGTGGATACCAGGCCTGCCAGGGTGACTCCAGGGGGCTGGCTCCTTCCTGGTGCAGGTGACTGGGGTAGGGAACCGGCGGGTCATCCCTGTGCCCGATGCTTGCTCCTGGGAGTGAACTCTGCATCTGACGAGAGAGGAACTCCCTGCGGGGCCCTCTGTCCTCAGCCGTGTCTGCCTTACCAAGCAGGATGGTGGAGAAGGCGAAGGTGGTCGGGGGCACGGGGGTGGTGGAGCTGCAATCGGAGACATTCCTCTCGATGGTGCCGTTGGCTCCGCAGCGGGCAGAGATGCAGCCGCCGGTGCCATCTGTTGTGTGGTAGATGATGTCCCCACGACGGAAGTGCTGCTTGTCATAGGTGCAGACACAGGCTGTGGGGAGCAGAGGGTCGGGCCGTTAGGGGCTGGAGCTCAGGCAGGGACCCCTGAGACCCCAGACCCGAGAAGGCCGCCGGATGCTCACCCTCGGCGTCATGGGTGCACTGCACGCCGCTCTCGGTGCAGACGCTGGGGAGAGAAGAAGGGGCGAGGTGTGCAGGGGTCCCGCAGTGCGGCAGGGGTGCTGTATTGGCTGTTTCCCATCTGCTTCACCTGCTTACCCGCTCCATACCCCAGAGCCCCCACCCTGGTGACTGTACTGTGCTCAGCCCCACCTCTGGGCCTCAGGACACAGATGTGCTGGTCCCTGAGAAACTCGTGTCACAGATTCCTGGCCCAGGACAGGGACCCATAGCATCTATTCCAGCATCAGGGACATCACTGCAGCTGCCAGCCCCGCCCGGGACCCAGGCTGTGGGGCCTCTCCTGGTCCTGCAGGGATTCGGCCCTGGAGGGTGGTGGCCGTGGTGGGGCTGACCCGAGTTCCCCTGTGTGCTGCAGGCTCCACCCCTCTTGCTGAGTGGCTTACCAGGACTGGCAGTTCTGGTCGGAGGGCACGGCTGTGCCCGGCTGGTACGATTTCCCATGGACCTGGCAGGGTGACGGTGGGCATTTGGGGACACACTGCATCTTGTCCTCATCGAAGATGGGAGCCTCAGGTGGGCACTTGGGGTAGCAGCCTGTGGGCCAGAGAGGCCTGAGTCCCACCCAGGCAGCTTGCCCAGCTGTCCCACCCCACCCCAGGGGTCTGGTCCACAACAATGCAGCCTGCAGGAGGCTGAAGAGTCTGCCCCGGCCAAGGGACCCAGGGGAAGGCCGCACTCTTTGGGTCCCAGGCCCCCCAAGGCAGACCCCAGCCAGATCCCAGGGACCCAGAATGGCGCCCCCCAGGCCAGCAGCCCAGCCCACCTTCGAGGCCGTGGATATCATGCAGGCACTGCCCTCGTGGGTTCTGGCAGGTCTTCATGCAAGGCGCCCCACAGGGCTGGTAGTGCCACTCACACTGGCCCTGGGGGTTGTAGTAGTCGCAGAACAGAGCTGCAGGTGAGGAAGGGGGCTCAGCCTGGAGTGAGGAAGAACGGCCTCGGGGATCCCCTGCACCCCACAGGCAGCTCTAAAGCCATCGCCTCCCCCGAGCCCCTGGCCACCGGTGGAGGCAGGCTGCTGTCAGGGGCGGGGTCTCCAGCCAGAGCAGTCCCAGCTACGCCCTCCTTCCAGCAAGGTTCCTTCTGGGCTGGGCTGGGGAGCTCTGCAGGCCTCTCTATTGCAGAATGTTCTGCCAGGCTGGCAACCCCTTGCAGGCAGTACCCCCCACATTCTTCTCTGTAAACCCTTCTTCCTCTCCCTCAGCAGCAGGCCTCTCTGGGCACCTCTGTCTCATCCCTGGGAGTCCCCACCCTGTGCACTCACGGCAGATGTCCGGGGTCCTCCAGGACACGCACACGCCCACCTCGTGGCAGGCCTGGGCGTAAGCGGCCACGGCGGTGCAGAAACACTCACAGTCACCCCCTGTGTCACAGGCGCACGAGTCGCTCACGCAAGCCTCATGGTATTTGGTGGGCTCCACCTGAGGGAGGTGGGACTTCAGCTTCCAGGGACCCCCGCCCTGCCCTGGGCTCTTGGGGGGCCAGGCTCTTGCTGGTGTGTGGCCCAGGCCAGTTTCTGAGAGAGCCTGGGGGCAGCACATCTTGGCCGTGACTGGGTGGCCTGGCCACCCCACTGTCCTGACACTGCCCACAGACTTGGGGCCTGGGCCATCTCGAAGTGCCTTCAGAGTTAACGCCCCTGCAACCCCAAACCACGGCTGAGTCAGCGCAGGAACCCCGGGGCTACCCTGTGGGTGTCCACAGCTGCCCATGCCATTGACTGATGGCCATTCCTCCCCCGACCCCTTCTCCCCTCTGGGGCCTCCTGGGACTGCCACCCTGGCAGGGTCCCCCTGGCTGGCCATACGTGGTCGTGGCAGGCGGCGAACACAGGGCTGTTGATGATGCTGCACTGCTTCTGGGCCCAGGACTTGCGGTAAGGGTTGGCGGTGCAGGGGTCCTTGGGCGCCTGGGCGTCCGGGCAGGTTGGGGAGGACTTCCAGCTGTTTCCAAACTCCAGCGCGTTGCTCACCACGGACTGGCTCCGCGTGGTGAAGTCGTTGATGGCGTTGCCGTCAAAGTTCCCGCACAGCCCGCAGACCTTGCCCTGCAGAAGACGCGGACAGGTGGGGTGGGCGCGGGGTGGCGTGAGGCTGGGAAGGCAGCTCCCCCGTGTGCAGCGTCCTGGCTGTGGCCCCGGCCGGGCCCTGCATGTCTCTCAGGGCCCACGCTTCTTTATCCTCCCCGGCTGGCATCGCCCTGTGATCACACGACACTGCCTCCGCTCCCTCCCTCTCACCAGACCTGGGTGTGAGGCCCCGGGCCGGTGGCCCGTCTGGAGCCTCACTAGGAGGAAAGGGAGCTGGAAACAGCGTCGTGGCCGAATGGCCTGTCTGTCTCGCCCTGTCTCTCTCCATCTCTCTGTCTCTGTCTCTCCATCTTTTTCTGTCTCTCTGTCCCTCTCTGTCTCCATCTCTCTCTTTGTCCCCTGTCCCCCGCACTCTGTGTCCCCGCAGTCCCACCTTGAGCTCAGGGCTGAGTCTAATGAAGATGCTGGTCCTCCTGTCCCACAGCAGCACCAGGCCAGCCTCGGTGTCCACCACCAGGTAGATGCCCATGTGACGGATGGAGTAGGGCACCTCCTGCCCCGTGCCCTGCTCGATCACCTCCACCTTCCCGTCACTCAGCTTCAGCTCCGTGCTCTGTGTGGGAAAGGGGGTCCCTCAGGGCCCTTGGTGAGGACCGTGGGTGGGCCACATCCTGGCAGGCTGCTTGGCTCACGGCACCTGCCTTGGCACTGCTGTGGGAGCAGCACCGTCCTCGGGGTCTCTGGAGCTCCCCCGAGGGGAGGACCCGCCCCACCTCCACCCCTCACTCACCCCCAGGAAGATCTTGATGGCCTTGGAGCAGGTGGTTCCTGTGGTGCCACAGGGGACATTTTCAGTGATGACGCGGAAGGCATACTTGACGCTGCTGTTCTTGCCACAGTGGTCCTGGGGGAGAAGAGGCTGTCAGGGACCCTGTTCACCCTCCAGCAGGATGGGTGGGGCTGACCCACAGGCGCCCTGGGCAGTGGGCACTGCGGCTTGGGAGCCACCTGAGGCGTGCAGGGCCTTGCGCACCTGCACCAGCGTGTACTCGCAGTCCCCGTTGAAGCTGTAGCTCTGCCCATCAAAGGTGAGGTAGTGGCCGTCTCCATACACAGCACAGGTGGCCAGGCAGGGCTCCTCCGTGCACTGCCACATCCTGCTCTCACAGGTGCTGGGGGTGGGGGCATGGGGGGTCAGGCCAGAGCACTGCAGGGGCAGGCGTGGGGGTGGTGGGGGTGGT